GCCCCAGCCAGCCATGGGGAATTCTGGGAGTTGAAGTCCACTCATCTTAAAGTGGCCAAGTTTGGACAACACTGGCCTAAGATGTCAGTACAGCTTCCTTGACTGAATTGCTGTTTAAGCTCTTCCTAAATACCTCTAGCAAAGAGATCTCCCAGTACTCAGGAGGTTTCTCTTGAGGATTACCAAAAATGTGCTTTCCTGCAATTCCTACCATGTGGTTCTAGTCCTTCCCTCTGGGGCAGTAGAAAACAGGATATTCTTCCTCTTCTGCTACGGTTTGATATGAGAAGCGTCTGTTTTCTAGGCTAAACATATCCAGGCTTGATTTCTACTATTCTGATCTGAATATTGTATTATGACCTTTCTGATAGCCCATAGTTGTTTGGCCCCACCTACTCTGCAGAGATATACTATTTCTGAATATGGAGATTCCATTTAAACCTGGCGGTGAATGGTTGTTGATAAAACGTCTCCACCATTAAGTAGAAGTTGACTTTTAGCTAGTTATGAAGGCTCATGTTCCATCTTTGCAGGGCATAATTTTTCTTCAGAGTGAAGGGAAGAATATGCCTGGATTTACCCTAGATTACATTGAAATGGGTTGGGTAGATTATGGTTTAGCATATTGTAGGAACTCAGACATTGTCATAATATGTTGTATAAGGTAGGCCATCACATTTAGCCAAACATGGCTTATTTATTTGGGCAAATCATATATGTGAATACAGTTATTCCATTTTTTAAACTCAGGTTTTGCATATTGTATGAATTCAGCCTTCTATTTTGGGGGATTGCTTTCTAATTCAAGTTTTTCTCCCTCTGTCTACTAGGCTTCAGGGCTATCCAAATGGCTGGGGGATCAGATGACACCATTGCAGACTATTCCTCCCTGGGCCATTGCAATTGTCCTCTCTATTATCATTGCCATCTTCACTGAATGTACCAGCAATGTGGCCACAGCCACCCTCTTCCTGCCAGTCTTTGCATCATTGGTAAAGCTGTTTTCAATGCCTATATTTATTTTTAAGATTTTATTTTGTAATCATAATACTCATAATACAACCATTCCAGCCAAGGTGCATGAATGATCCACAGGCTTCGGGATTAGCTGCTCAGGGATCAGCCAGTGCTTTTTATGGGATCAGTTTCAATCTGGGGCTCCAACAGTTGACTCTCCTTTGATTAGTTCAAAGAAGCAGGACAAAATGGATGAGTTGCTGTTGTTGCCTCTAGAACTTCATCAGTGTACGTAGTTATAAAGAAGATGATCCCTGACTAAAGTAAGATACATGCAATATTTCAACTCAAGGAATAGGAAAGGAAGAAAGTAAAATCAAGGGTAAAGAGCAGTAGAAGATACATTTATTTCAGTTATGTATTTGTGGCTGTGTTCACACAATACATTTAGAACCAGATCAGTTAACCAGATAAGCCAGCAGTTGCATTCCTACAACAAGATAACCGTGGTTAGTTTTTTGTGATGTAGCATGTTGTATGAAATTTAGTTAGTTTATGGCTCAGTGTGTGTGCAAGCTCAGACAATGGGTTAATTCAGAAACCAGGTGAAACATG